TGCAGTGGGAAGGAACTAATGTAAGGTTAACTAGACAAAAGCTGTCTAACAACCCAAGAGAGGAACACAGAAGACAAGAAAGGCTCTTGTAGGCCGTGTCCTCCTTGCATGCTGGAATTGGTGATCAGTGCCTCCGAGTAGCCGCGACAGGCACGACGAGGGCTGGGGTTTGGTAGCAACTGAAAAAGCAGTGGACGAGATTATCAGGGCACCAGCGTCCTTAACAGCGAAATTTCCTCTCTCCCAGGTATACGTCAAAAGACTTAGCTGTTTATGCCATTTTTCTGAAGTGGCCAGAAAATGAAGTTTTATATCTTAAATCCCCCATAACTACCTCAGCTACAAAGGTAAGGGGTCCTGTCAGTTTGAAAGTGTCCTTAGCTGCTTACTATTGGGAGGGAGGGAGGAGCTTGAACCCAAGGCCTTCCCACTGAGCTATGTCTCTAGCTATTTTTTGGAGATGGGGCCTCACTATGTGGTTCAGGCTGGTCTTGAGCTTACTATATAGCCCAGGCTGGCCCTAACCTTCACAGTCATCCTCCTGCCCCACCCTCCTGAGTGCTGAGATTACAAGTGTGTACCAGCACAACCAGCAGTAGCCCCCCTCTTTTTTTTTTTTTTTAATTTTAGGGAAGGGTCTACAGGGTGTTCAGAGTCTCACTACTAGATCTGACTCAAAGTGATCTGCCTGTTTACAGCCTCCCAAGAGCTGGGATTACAGGCATGCGCCACCATGCCCAGTCTCAGTTGTGGTCTCAGCATGCCCTGGGGGTGGGGCAGGCGCAGCAGGCCCACAGATCAAACCCCCAGCCCCTGTACCTGCTTGTAGGCACTTTAATCTCCTGAGCTATTTGGCTGGCCCAAAAGTTGAGCGGGATTTTTTGGGGGGTGGGGCGGGGAGGCTGGCTCAGGCTGCCTTAAGGGTGGGTCTGGTAAGGCATGTGGAGTTTGGGATTTAATCACGGTACCCTGCACCTGACAGCATTTGCATCAGCAGGTGCTTAAACAACTGAGCTAACTGGCAGGCCTCCTAGTAGCCCCTTTTTAATTTTTATTTTGAATCAAGTTCTTGCTAGGTTGTTTCCAAACTTGTGATCCTTCTGCCTCAGCCTCCCAGAGTGCTGAGATTACAGCCATATATCACCACACCAGCCTAAAAGTAACTTTTGTTGTTGTTGTTGTTAAATGCAACTTTTGCTAAAGGAACTGGCCAGCCTTCTTTCTCTGTCCTTTCTCCATCCCTTCCTCCTTCCCTCCTTCCTTCCTTCCTTCCCTCCCCAGGCTCCTCCCACTCCTGGGCTCCTCTGGGCTCTCTTCCCTGTCCTGGGCTGGTGTGGGCGTTCAGTCTGTCATTAGTGTATACCAGTGCATGACTGGGGCTTACCGCTCCTTTTGCTCACTGCAGGTAACCATGCTAGGACTCAAGGGGGATCTGAAGTGGTCCAAAGACCCGGATGAAGGTCTGTACATCTCCCTGCCTCAGTTGCCTCCCTCTGCTCTCCCAGTGGAGTTCGCCTGGACCGTGAAGCTGGCAGATGTGAAGTGACCCTGGAGCTCAGGAGGAGAGGGGCGCAGCCTGGTTTGTGCTGCTTTGATTTCTCTCTCAGAGCCGGCATTGCAATAAAGCCACTTCTTTCCCCACCCCGAGATGGCCTTTCCAACACTTTGATCCAGGACCCTGAACACATCACCCCGATGACTGGGGGGCCCGTTGCTAGAGTGTCTCTCTCTGCCCAGCAAAATATGGGGCTGCACCATTAAGCCAAGTTCACACACTACATGGTGGGGACGCCTGTTCATAACCTGCTTGCCTGCTCAATGACTTCAGTCAGCCGGCTCCTCCCATTCCCTGTGGGAGTGGGCGAGGAGTCTGGAGAGCTTAACCACAGGCTGTGTTTAGTATCAGGGGTCACCAGTTGCATCCCCAAAGCCGAGGAAGCCTGGTGGGGAAGGAAAACCCTACCGGGCACTGATGGTCAGCTCATCAGAAGCTTCCAGAGTAAACTACTGCTCTGACATTGACTATGTTTACAGGGAAACTACGAAGACAAAGACTGCCACCCTACCCTGCCTTGTTAACTGGGCTCGAATAGTCTATGGTCCCGGCCCTTAGGAGGCTGAGGCAGAAGTATCCTTGTGAGGTTGAGGCCATCCTGAGCTGTGTGGTGAGACCCCATCTCAAAAAAAAAAAAAATCAAATAAATCTATAAGTCTAATCATTTCTAACAAAAAGTTTTGTTGTTACTTACTATTTCTTGTTCTACTTTTTTTGGCATATTTTTTAATAGATGACTAAAAGAGGGTGAAATTTTGATGAAAAGCTTTTTTTAAAAATGGTAGTAGAGCCTGGGGATATATCTCAGCGGCATGAGCACTTACCTGGCAAGTGCAAGGTCTGGAGTTCGATCCCTGGTACCAAAAAAGAGTAATAGGGATAGAACTCAGGGCCTTTCCACTGAGCTGAATCTGCAGCCCTTTTTTTTTTTTTTTT